TAAATTATGGCGATATATAAAAATTCAATTCAAAACATAACTGATTATGGTAATAACAGTATAGAACGTTTGAATTCCTCAATGGCAACAAATACTGATTGGACGTTTTGCGTTACCACAAAACCTTCCGTAGATAGTGACTTCTCTTTGGGAAAGTCCATGTGCTCCATTTCAAATGTATGCTTAAATACTAGTATTGTTAACATCACTGTTAAGGCAATCATTACCCATCGAAGGCTTCGCTTAAACCGGCGCGAATGGTGCAGGTACCTCAGCTCGTTAGTCTAAGTGTGCGCCGGCCTGTAGATGAATAAATCTCCTAATGAGTTTCACCTTATGAGGCTAATGTTTTCAGCTTGTTGTTTTACCCCATACCCTCACTTCAAAGTCTCAAGTTTGTTATTACGAAAATACTACGGCACAGTTCAAATAGCTTCAAGCCACGGATGCATTACAAATTGAATCCCTCGTACGATTCACACATATGACGTCGGGGAGATGTTTATATGCGTTTCGCGTTAAAGATTAATATTTTCACTGCTGAATGGTTTAACCTTATGATATTGCCTACACCAACACCAACATATCAGAGCGCGGATATTTCCGGCACTTCAGCGAGTCAGAGCATCTTGAAATAACGGGGCCACTCTGCCTATCCTTAGAACGCTCCAATGACTGTATCACATGAAAACATATCACAAATACGCAATTTCCACTTCTCTGAACATTCCTAAATGTAGTTCTTCATGGTGAAGAAATATGAGCATTGCATTTGAGATATGATGGTATTCTCCTCATGACCTTAAGTGGGCTTGCTCATACTCATAATGGTAACAGCTTATATTCCTCCTCGTTTTGAAATCCTATACAGTAAAGTATATCTTGTTATACTCTCATTATAAGACAATATCAGTTTTTCGAATTTTGTGAATAAGATAAGTGCGATTCAAGATATACAGTTTATTTTTTTTTATCTAACATTCGTCAAAGTCGTCAGCTGTTTTTCTGGACTGACTTTCCTATCTGAAGTCAGCTGGTCAAGAATGAATCTTCTTTTTCTTTATCTTGTAACATTTTGCAGACCGCTGCAGATTCCATTTGGACCGAACCTTTTTTTAATTCTCTGGTTTCATTGATATTGTTATGACACCCCCGCACAAAAGATAATGAATTATGCCTTAATAAATGAATGCAACAGTTGATTAATCGAATGCGTAAAATTCGCAGAGTACGCGTAAATGAGAGTTTATGGCCGCCTTGGATATTTGTTGGTGTAGCACCAACGAAATGGATATGTCATCACAGCACTTTCTATACATCTCCACCAGATTCTTTCTCAGCTTCAATTGTCATAGAAAACATTTGTAACACAACCCTGGTCGTCACAATCAAGAGCACCGCCAGCACCACGATGAGTATAATCAGTCTGATTTGTTGAAATTCATCTAATTCCAGTCCGTAATCCGCTACGTCCGTTGTGACGTCATCAGTGACGTTCAGTCCCTTACCGGATTTAGAATTTGTGACGTTTAATGTGGAGTTGACGTAGTCTGACCACCATGTGACGTCATCGGCGGAACCGTTCCCTTTTGTTACAGTCGCTGGTAGACTTAGAACTCCCATTTTGTTAATATTTCTTCACCGATTTCGGCAGGATTATGAATAAAAGGTCAACAACACTTAAGTTGATTGCACTGTTTGTCCTCAGAACAGGGTAGACTGAAACCTAATATGATTCGATCTCCTTTTCATATACATATTATGTTTTAAAATAAGTTAATCTGTCTGTAATAAAATAATCCATGGATGAATTGGCATTTGGACCAATTCCATAACATCACTTCCTGGAGCGTTGCTTAACAATGCTTTCACTGAAAGACGGCGGGTTTTCCAGGAGTTGGCATTAACATAAAAGGCAGACTAGTCACGTTGCTTGGATCCAGACTCTCAGACGTTCGATGAAGGACAAACAAGCAATTTGAAAAGCGGTCTGTCCCCCACGAGGTGCAGCAGGCGCTTCCTCATGTGGTGTAAAATACTCAGCTGCTATAAATATGCGGGGAAATAAGAAATATAAACCGTGTTCTTCAATTAAGAGTCTAACAGGTGTAGTATTCCTTTCCTCGTGAAGCTGAGCGTGGGTTTTACATGAATCAGATCTGAACGCTGTTGTCGTAGTTCAGAAAACTTGTCGAACTTGCGCAATGGTTCCGCATCCTTGGAAAGGAGTATCTTAGGCAATATTTTGCAGTTTAAGTGCCACAGCGGAAATGTTGAAATAAATGATATATAAAGTGCGTCACAGTCTGGTGCATTTCACTTGGAATTTACGCTCTTTAAGATTAGAGCAGTCTTTCTAAGATATCCAGATTACAAGTGTGAACCATCACTATAATTTTTAAGTGTTCCACTTTGGTTCACTCTGCGTGGAAATCTATTTTTTTCGTATTCTTTCTGGTCTTCTCTGAAGTTTTCTGTCTGTGTTCTGATATGCCTACGCGTGTTTTGTGTTATTCATAAATGCCTCTTGTAGACCACAGGGGCGAATGTAGACGCGATAACAAACCCCACCACGTGCGTAATTCAATAAACTGACGCACGTGGCTAATCTTACTTAACCGAAGTAAGACAGTGCCAACATTTCAAGAACCTGTTGATGGCTCTGATGCTTGGGATTGCTCTCCGCGCGAAAATTTCGTTTTGGTTGCCACTTTGAGCTAAACTCATAATGATAGCACGCGTGTAATTCCGAGAGTGAGGCTGCCAGAGGGAGAGTGAGCAGGTAGCTGTTTGCTTTCAATCAAGGTTTGCCCTTCCTTGACATTTTAAGAAATCTGAACCAACCTTCTCATATGAGATATAACAAGGTGTGTTGCACTTTCTGCACTTTCTTTTTTTTTTTCTCAGTGAAAGATGTTGGGTAACCCAAGAGAAAAAATTGCCACTTTTCTTGCAGACGATGGGCTAGGCCTACGTACTATTTGTCCTAGTGACGAATTTTAGAGCAGTTATTTAATTTTGTCTCAACCTCTGATTAAGCTGATTTTCACGTTAAGAAACAAGGGTACATTTTCTACGCCCTCAGTATGATCAAAAATGTATTACATGATTGATGACAGGTCTAAACAGCGGGGATGCATGGAAGAATAAAGAGTTTTGCACCAGACGGCGTCAATTTGAGAAGACGCGACAATGCATGCTGGGAAGGGCGAACGCAGAAACTTTGGTGCTTAATGAACGCCTTTATAAATTTCTGACAGCGACTTTACACATCTTGAATTTGGACACAGTTGGAATCAAACCGCAAACGGGAACGCAGTAAACTTTACGTTTAAAACCGATGGTAATTACCATGCCAAACATTATGTCATACTCTTTGCCTCCTTCCTACACACGTACAAGTAGCCTATATGTAGGCCTACCCTCCTAATGGCAGATGAAAAAAAAACTGGTACCATTACTGCCAAAACATGTCTTTTTTTAAACAATTGGTAGAATAAACAAATACAAAACACAAAAAATTAACTTGAAAAATAAAAAACCTCTTGTGTGCGCCACCATTTGACGTCTTTTTGTGGAACGTTCAGCAGAATTTCTTTTAATAGTACAGACTGTTAGGTGAAATTTGAAAAATTATATTTTGATAAATTTGATAAACAGTGTTGTATTTTGATCCACAGAGCGACCACCTGTTTATTATTGTTCATGTTAATTTTCCTTTATTTTTTAGCAGGTGGCTTAAGGTTGAGTCTGTAACAGGTTTTATATCATGCTGTCAGTTCCAGGTCCGTGACTGTGTGCACACATCGAAATATATCGCAGCTCTAAATGATTTAACTTAATTTACGTCTGAAAAATTCTGAATATGCTTAAAGGGATAACACCTGTTCGTTTTGGCCAAAATATGAATTTTCCCGGAGTAAACAACAATTTTCCCATACTTACCAATGGTCAATGAATCAATTTCTTCATTCAAAGTTAGTCCCTGTTTTTTTCTAAAAAGTTTGTTCTTTTTTAATAATCTCTTAAGAGATTATAATAGAGTATAGCCATCTGTGGAGGTCACGTGGTCCGATGACAAACTCAGATATCAGAATAATAGCTATAACTGCCGTTTTTGAGGTAAAACAGAATATATTATATTTCTATGAGTTGCTTATAATGTTTTTATTGTGAAATATAGATCTCATACGAAGAGTTATTATCCCTTTAATTTATGGCATTTCACACGAAAACGGTAGCCAATAAAGCCAACTAATGTAAAGGCCAACCTTTATTGTATTTTCCTGTTGCAACCTGTGAAAGGGAAGCAGTCTGTTTTGTTCCGTATTACATTGCCGTGTTAGACGTTATTTGTTGTGCAGTGGCGGAATGGTCCCCTCTTGAAATTAGAATTTTGACTAGCTGAATTATAGTTCTAAACCGTACCAAATGGCACCGTTCGCCCTCTAAAATACCATTTTTGGGGGTGCCTGGGGGTGCGGGAGGGCGGCTTTGCATCCGCGGACCCCTTTTCAAATAATCCTGGATCCGCCCCTGAGATATATCTCTTATTTTTATTTGATCTTTTTAATCACAATCATCATGATACCCCACCTAATTACGCCACTGTTTATGATAAGTAAATAAAATAAAGTAGAATAAAATAAAATAAGGGAGCAAGAAAATATCTTATGCGGTAGCCTCCAGCTGCACATATGTGCACGTGTTTATTGTCATAATGGAGAGAGCACGCATACTGAAAGTAAAGTTCGTCAGTATTTAGTTGAAGGTTATGATATCATTCTCCCTAAAATGCTGAATTTCTCACTTTCTGATGAAATACTATTGAAAGGTAATATTAAATACACCAATATATGCAATTTTACCTCCTATTTTCCACTAAAAAAGGGTATCTTTACGTCTTATTCCTTTGTCCGTATATGACACCTGGTTACTGTCCTTTCCTGACCTGGTGGCCTGACATAGCACGTCCACATGCATGAGCCAGCGCTGTCTCACGAAAGGTGAATGTTGTGGCCTTTCGTGTCTGCACCTTGATCGACTGTTTACTACCGCTCATAATGCGGCTTTTCTAAAGTCTGTATTCATGTTTGAACACCGGTAAGTTCTCCATTAAGGCTAACGATTTTATTGTGTTTTGTACTTTCTGAAATGTAGGACTTCTCTTTCGAAAGTTGGACTTCAATGAATGATGACAGTGCATCATGAGTTCATGCACATCTACTGTAGTTTAGTGCCAGGTATGCCCCCCTTTGTTCTTGGAATATAAACTGTTGTCTGTTAATGCATTATTGGACCAGAACATACGTTTATTATTATGGAATGCAGTTCTTTTTGTTTATTTGAAATTCTAAGTAGTGTAATCACAATCTCCAGTGTTGTTTTCACGATTGCAATGATTTCCGCAATTTTAGTGCTTTTTCCTTTTATTAATAATAATAATAAGTTTATTGAGCACTAAATGATGTGAATACATTTGCAGGCTCTCTAGACTACAATATTTACACAATATATATGTATATACAATTATGTATGTTTACATATGTAGTATGTTAAATTATACATGTGATAATGCAAATTATGCTATAATATTAATTAATTAATTAAGCTACTCACAGCATTATTGACAATAAGTGGCTGTGATATACTAGATTTCAGGTGAACTATGTATTTTAACAGCAGTCTTTACAAATTCTGCTATTACTTTGAGACTTTTATGAGAATATTGACAATATCTGATCACTGTCATCTAGACCCCACTACACTGATTTTCAGTAGTTCATCATGCATTCGTTGCATTTATTGAAGGGGATGTATTTGGATAGTGCTTGAAATTCAGTTTATAAACTCATTAGGGATATGCAGACCGCTGCAATGTTTGGAGTTGCATGTTTGTGTGCAGGCCATGTGTGTGTGTGTGTGTGTGTGTGTGTGTGTGTGTG